GTGGTGCTTAGTTGCTGGCTGGGGCTAAACCACGACACCGGGGTAACACACGCTCCTTTGTACAGGGTGGGGGAGCAGCTCAGCTCCCCCTGTCTGGATCATGGCTGCATCAGCCCTACACACCATTACTTGTGCCCACAGGTGCAGATCCAGGTCGGTGACATTTCTTACTAGGTACCTAGCTTTCTGAGACAGGAACAGAAGCTCCTACCCATGTTGGGCTGATACATTTAGGTCTATTAAGGCTTTTAGGACAGGGATCTTCTTACAGCTGCAAAACCTCTACTAGGCCATTACAGCAGCTATGTAAACAAGGAGCAGTAAAAATAAAAATCAAAGAATTTACATTTGCAATACTTACCACTCCGATAGCCCAAGGCTACAGCCAAATCCATGGAATTATAGCCAGCATCTGTTTCGATAGTTGGATCAGCACCACTTTCTATGTAAAACAGGAAAAGAAACTCATGTTTCTGACAATGAGAACTGATAGTAGATTATTACTGATGATTCAGTTTGGACAGTCTGCTTACCAAGGAGAATTTTTACACATTTCACGTGGTTCCCATGTACTGCATATAGTAGAGGTGTGCCTCCATTCTGCAAAAGCACGGAAAATCCTTAATGATTGAGGAGTCTGCAACTGTAATTCCTTAACACACCAGTATATTTCTATGTATCAGTAACAGACTTCACAGTTTTTATAAAAATGAGGTTCTGTTTTGGTTCTTCACAACTTCCATCTTTTTCTGTCTACTGTTTAGACTATAAGCTGACCCTTCCACAAGGATTCAGCATTAGTCTCATTCTCTTTTTACCAAGAAACCAGAACTAGTAGGACCAACTTCTGTTATCCTATGGAAGTCTTGAAACTCTCAGATATTTCAGAAGAAGTAGAACAATTTTCAAACCCAAGCCAGTGCTGTGCCAGTTCAAATTTCTGACCAAAGCACACTCTGACATAATTTCAAGCTAGAGACTTACCCAGTCGTACTCATTGACATCAACTCCACAGTCGAGCAGCATTTTGACAATATCTGTATATCCCTTACTGCAAGCCAGTGAGAGGGCACTTTCTCGCCCTTTCCCCAAAATCTGAGGATCTGCACCCTGAAATAATTAAAAAAAAAAAAAATTAACCATGTTTTTTTTAAATATGAGGTTTTACACAGAACTTAAGACTTTTAAGTGTACAGCAGCAGTGACAAACTTAGGAAGGCAAACTGAACTAAAAAGTAAATAAATAAATTTAAAATGAAGTGTGTTTTTTTCCTTACATTCTGCAGGAGAAATTCCACTACTGCTATCTGCCCATGAGCTGCAGCCCACATCAGAGGGGTAAATCCTTCTTCATCCTTATGATTGATTACATTTTCTGTTTAAAGAAAAATATGCAACTTAGTAATCCCTTTCACTAAGGCACTGTACGAGCTGGTGAAGGACGTTGATGCATCCATGGGGAATGGACTGAGGTACCAGTGTGTCCTACAAGTCATTCTCATCTTAACTTTAGAAACAAAATTCTGTCCCAATGGTGGTGCAAATACCTTTGTCCAAGAAAGAAAAAAACATCCAACTGACCAAAGTAAAATTTAAGATTTGGGTTTTTTTTTTTTTTTTAAGCTCTATAAATCAAGCTCTGTTTTTACTCACAAATGTTACAAGTTTTCTGTAATCTGGGCTTTATCTTTAGAAAGAAGAGAAGGGCTACTTGAATAATAAAGAGGTACATTCTGTATTATACTTCAGAAAGTGGGTTTTTTTCAATAGAGTGAGCCACACAATCTTGTAAAGAATGAGCTTGCAATGCAATATAGATAGTATAACTCCATTCCCCCCAAAGTTCATGTAATCAACAGGATGTTTTGTGGAAGCAATTAAGGTCTACTTCTAGTGCAGCTGGAAGAAGGAAAAAGAACTTTTTTTAACAATTGGCTGACTGAAATAGTTGAGTTAGATTTTTTTTTTAATATATGAGTACTTAAAAAATCCCATGCTTATCATAGCACCATAATACGCATTTTTAACTGTTACTGACACTCCAGAATTGATTTGCTTTCCATATGCGTGGCTCATTACAAAGTATATAGACTCGGCAACTCATTATCTGCTTTCCAGTAAACATTTCAACAAAGACACACTGAAAGCATGGCTGATTACTAATAACACAGTAAGAATATACTATTAACAGTACTGAATTCAATACATTATGTAGAGTTGAAATTTTGTGTATGTATTATGGACACACAAATGTCACACTGAAGACTATCACACAGCTCAGAATGAGCGGCACTATTATATTGCAGGCTTAAATTACCAACATGCAGCTCTATATATTGGTTGATTAAATAGGATTGGAAAACCACCATTAATAGAAATGTGTTTTAAATTACAAAGATCATTAAAAAAACCCAAAACTCTTCTGATAGAACTAACAGATTCTGCCTTCTCATTTCCATGGATTACCTATACAGCTGCAGAGCAGGGGGAGGAAGGGATTTACCTACAACTCCTATTAACCCTAATGTTTAATTTAAAATTGTAGCAATGAGTGAATAAAAGACTGATGTGAAACAACAGTCCACATCCACAAAGAACAGATACCTCAAATATCCTCAATTTGTATCAGAATTGAGGATTTTTTTTTAATACAGCTTTGAGGGAGAAGTCAAACACAACAGCGTATAAATGCCCCAAACAAAAAAGGAAGGCATTTAACCTCCCTCTGTCTCACCTTGTTCAATACGTGTGGCCAGATACAACATTTCTCCCTGAGCAGCCAGCTGATGAACTGATAAAGCTGCAAAAAGGGAAGCAAAAGCATGTGTCACACACACCAATTTTCATTCTGCTCTATTTGGAGCTGGGCATAACACGTCCATTGGACTGAGCAGTACAGAACTTGGATTTGAGAGTGTAGATAAGTTTCATCTTACACTCTGAACTGGAACCATTATCTTAAAAACTGAAAAGTTTCCAAAGAGTTTCATAGGTTTAGGTAATTTTTTAACCAATGTGTAAATCATACTAGAAAACAAAGATACTTCCTATACGAACTCTTTACAAGGCAACATGTTATGTTCTCTGCTACTTAATCAGCAACCCAAGATCATATTACGAACATCTATCAAATGAAAATATGTATCTTTTGATAAATTAAGGCTGTGTAGTTTAAAAATGACATTGAAGAGACCACATGCCATCAGGAGACCTGTCATGCTGCTCAATAAAGGCCATAGCATGAGTCTCACTCATTACAACGTGGAATAGATCAGACATTACAAAACTATACACAACATGACTAGACCTACAGGGGAAGAAAAAGATTGTGCATGGGTTTTTTTTAATTATTATTTTTAATAAAAAGTACCAAGCATTAAAAGCAGAATAATTCTTAAAAGATGATGAAGAAAAAAATCTCTGATCCCACAGTAAACTCTGCACAGACCCATGGTTTTGATAATTACAACTTGGAGCAGGTCTGAAAGGTGCTCAGGAGGGAATATGTAGTACATTATCCACATTATATAATACCAAATTAGCTAATGATTACATAATATGTAATTGTTCACTGTCCTCTTCCTATTCAGTACATGAAAGTTTGATTTTTTTCAGAAAGACTGCATATTTTGTGAGGCCTATGTTGCAGCTCCAGATTAATTTTTCCCATGCAAGCAGCCTTTTTTTAAAAAAACCTGGACTTAAAATGCTGCCTTCCTGACTTTCAAGATCCATGACAATCATGACAGTCTGTAGCACTTACCAATCACCTAATTTTAATAAACTTTACAAGATGCCCGAGTTCTGAAAACAAGTATATGAATGTCCTGGTTTCGGCTGGGATAGAGTTAATTTTCTTCCTAGTAGCAGGCATAGTGCTGTGTTTTGGATTTACGATGAGAAGAATGTTGATAACACGCTGATGTTTTAGTTGTTGCTGAGTACTGCTTATGCTAGTCAAGGACTTTTCAGCTTCCCACGCTCTGCCAGGTGCACAAGAAACTGGGAGGGGGCAGAGCCAGGACAGCTGATCCAAACTGACCAAAGGGCTATTCCAGACATCATGCTGAGTATAAAAGCTGGGGGGGGGTTGGCCGGGGAGCAGCGATCGCTGCTCGGGAACTGTCTGAGTATCGGTCGGCGGGTGGTGAGCAATTGCATTGTGCATCACTTGCTTTGTATATCATTATTACTATTATCATTATTATATTGTTACTATTATTGTTACTATTTTACTTTATTTCAATTATTAAGCTGTTCTTATCTCAACCCAGGAGTGTTTCTCACTCTTACTCCTCCAATTCTCTCCCCCATCCCATCGGGGTAGGGAGAGTGAGCGAGAGGCTGCGTGGTGCTTAGTTGCTGGCTGGGGCTAAACAACGACAATGAAGCACATTAACTTAAAGCTTAGAAAGGATCAGAAAAACATTTATCTATATTTTTAAAACAAATAATTGGATCCTTTCTGGAAAACAAGCTTCACTCATGAATCCAATACAGCAGGTGAATTACTATTTTAAGGTTGGAACCATATGAAAGCAGACAAGACTATCTCAGTGTTTTCTTCCTATGTTAAAGTTCATTACAACACCAAAGAAAAAACTGGAAAAATCTGTCAGGCATCTAACATACAGTTCACAAAATAATTATTAACAGTAAGACAGAAGGATACTTACAGTTTACAAGCAGAGGAGTTGTAGAGACTTCATTTCCCCTGTGTTTGTTAGTTAGAGTAGTTGATTGTTTTATTGGTGAGAAATGCTTAGTAGTTGATGGAGTATAAACATGTCTTACTTGGATACCAGGGGAAGGAGAAGTGTGGATGTTGCACTCAGCTACATTGAACAGAGAGAACAGACAGGATTTTAGTACTCCTAAGATCATTAAAAGAAAGCCACAGATTCTAAGTCAAACTAGAAAACACCAGTATCACAAGATCTTTAAAAGCCATGTTAAGTAAGCTTTGTGACATGTGGTTTCTCCACTGTGTATTGTGAGAGTTGAATAAAGGGCTGTATTCATTTCTGGCATGAAACAATGCTGCTACCCCACAGGTTCAGTATGGTGTAATGTCACCCAGACACAGGTTGGTGTCTAAATGAGGTAAGCTTTTGTCCAGATTTTCAACAGGCCTGGCATGGATTTATCAGGTAGGATGGCTCCACTTAGCCTATCATACCTCACTAACACTCTCCAGTGCAATAACATGATGCAGCTCTGGTCAGCCATGTAGTCAGGTAACTGCTCAGCTCATCCCTTCGCCCACTCTCTAACCAGTCCACTGCAAGAATGGAGATGACCTTCACTAATTTTCTTCACCAGGACTTCGTCCACTACTGTTGGATATTTTATTACAAAATATGTATGTTATCTTGGCTTCTAATTCTCAAAATTAGGTTTTGAGAAGTAACTGAGAAGCCAAATAATTTTTAAGAAGCTAACCGATTTAATACTGGAAAAACATATTGAAGGATTAAACTCCATTACTGGCTAAATTGATTTGACACCAGTGTGCACTAATAATTAATGACTGGAAGCTAATTAACATGCACACCAAGTTCACACCATAAAGAACTTAATGATCATAAACCCAACCACAAATTTGGGGAGAGAACCAAGTAGAGGGTAACACGATGAAAACGAAATTACATTCTGTTTGCCAATCAAATAGCTACAGCTGATGTGATAAAATTAAGAGACCTACCAGGGATTTTTGACCTGCGGTCCCTGGATCCGCAGGGCTACTTCTAAGGGGTTCACAAATGTTACCCAAGAAAAACAACCCTATCACTGATGGGTCTAAATTTGCCGTTCAGGTCTGCAGCTCCACTAGAAAGCACTTATGGCCTGCAAATCAAAAAAGTTTGAAAATTACAATGGCTGAACTGCAGCCAAACAATACAAATCAGAGAAATCATCAAAATCCACAATAGGTCAGTGTTTGTATTTGCTATAGGAAATGGGTCAAATTCAACCTCATGAAAAGAACCGTCTGAAATATTACAGCAAGCACTGGAAACCACAATTGTCAAAGGGAAATAGACAGATGTCCTAATTCTGCTGTCCGCTGATATGCTCAGCCATGAAAAAGCACAGATCAGTTCTGGTGAAGCTGCGCAGCAATCGCTGGAGATTAGCTGCAGGGATCCAGAATTGCACTAATGTTTGCTTTCAAGTACTGTGAAGCTGAATTGGCTAGCCAATCGCTACAACTACAGGCTTTGCATACAGCCATATTGATAAAACAAAGTCAACCACATGACCTGTTTTATTTTATCATTGTACTAGTGAAAAGGTAAAACGTGCTGCAGAAAGCAACTGAAGTTGAAATGATCATATAGTACTTTCAGTAGCGTTCTGTGAAGATACATACATTCAACACTGTGTAACATGCTGTAGGCCATGCCAACCAAAAGAAGTAAGCTTGTTTTCATAATCAGCATCAGCTCTTATTAAATTACAATAGAGACTTTTTGTGCCACTATTTTTCCAATTAAAAAAATAATTTAAAATGTGATTTAAAAAATAATTTTGGGGAAAATTAATTTTACATTAATAATCCATTACACATATAATAAAAATGTTAGGGGAACAAATCTTAGAAAACTATTACTGATTAACACGCATATAAGGCAGAGGCTTTTTTTCTTATAAAAAACATAACAGCTTAACAGGATGACACAGTCCACACATAACAATTTGTACCATAAAGTTCAACCTTTAAATAAGACAGATGCCACTTCAAGGTCAGAGTTAACTTGGTCTTGAATATTTTTACTGTCCTCCTCATTCAAAGATTTCACAAATCGCGAGCAGACATTCATATCAAATCTATTGGGCAAAATGAATTTCATTCCCATGGCGACACTCTGAGCTGGGCTGTCCTCTGTGCTAGAGTCAAGCTGATGCTCCACTTTAATGTCCGGCATCGGCGGAAGGCTGTAGCTAGTAGGACATTCTTCTACAATCAACTGGGCCCCAGCATCTAAGTTTGTTGAAGATGCCATGGCGTCAGTCATGTAAAAGTTTTATGCAGAATGTTTCTTCATAGTTTCCAGGTAAGAGCAGTTCCGGCCAACCAAGCTGTATCTAAAGAGATCTGGGTATTTGAACAACCTGGAACTGAACACATGTAACACAGGTTAACAACATTCTGGTGAAGTAATACATAAAAATACATCAAACTTGGTCTCATTTAAGCTTGCAGCATTTGGTTTTGATAGTCAAAACCTCAGTGAAATATCACGCTTACTGCTGTCACATGCAATTGACCACATCTTGCATTTAAATTTTATCACATGGGTATTTAAGCCAAATTCTGTAACGAAGCCAATAGGAGTGTCCTCATCTAAGTAATGTTTCAGCATATTCACGTGGTTGCAATAAAAAAATCCATCAACAACAACAACCACGTTTATACCAAGACAGGAACAAGCTATAAGGAGCAGATGACTTTATTGCCTAAAAACATTAGACTTGAAGGAAAAGTTAAAGTGAATTTATGTCCCTTTATGACTTAAGTCTTTCCACAACCCGAGCGAAAAAAATGGCTTCTACCACACGCGTAGGAAAGGGACAAATCCCCTTCTAGACCGACGACAGCAAAACACCCCAGAATACCCGGGGCTTGTTGACAGCACGGCGGGAAGCCTAACGCCAGGCCGAGCTCCGCGGCAGCGCCCGGCAGGCAGAGCGGCCTGGCAGGCAGAGCGGCCCGGC